AACCTATGTATGTGCTACTCTGATGTGTAAGCTATATTACTATAAAGTTTCATTAAAATCCGTTTAATAGTTTTTCAACCATTCTCACAAACTCTCGCGTTTATAATATTAGTAGGATATGATATCATAGCAAACCTGTAGATGAGGAAAACTGTATCAGGCAAATATTTGAGATGTTCTAATAGAAGAAAGAGCCTTTAAGAAACTGAATATATAATAGGTATTAAGTATTTAAAATATGCTCACATTACCGTATTGACAACGATGCGGATGCTAACGTTGTTGGAAAGTGGCTAGAACAGAGTTGTATTCCGATTTCTGAATTGTCATCAAAATATTTTATTGATTTAATTAATTAGTCTATAAACTTTATGAGTAGATTATGTCAGCTGAGTCCAATGTTATATTTGTTAAATTTTTTTAATACAAAACCTTATTATATGTATTTTTGTATGTATGTATGTATGTATGCTATTTTTGTTATCTTTTTATAAAATTTGTATCCTACGGATTTTTTTTCCTTTTCTCAAGATAAAAATGCAGCCAACTTTTGACCGTATTCTCTACCCGCCAATAAAAGTCTCCTTCAAATTGATTACCAAATCAAATCTTTACTGTGTGTTAAAATTCCTTTTCCTGCACTTCCAGAGATACAATATAAGAAACGGCTAATCTACTATCCGTTAGTGTATCCCATTACGAAGATTTGCAAAATATAGCGAAGGTAGAAAAACAAAAACAAAGAAAAATATTTACCGATTTCTTTGGTATTGGTAATATATAATTGTTAATATATATTGGTAATATACAATAACTATCTATTTTGGTCTTGGTAAGTTTCAATTCTATAAAGTAATTATACCTAATACCATAAAAACACAAAACACAATTTGAACATTTTGTTATAAAAATATATTTAATTTGTTAACAAAAATAGGGCGGTCTAGTTTTCAATAATCTCTTAATTAACAGAATAGGGCTCAGCTCAGTTGTAAGGTTTCCAAGTTAAAAAACTTATCGTGTATTAAGGAGAGGAAACGAAACTACTTTCATTTTTACAGCGAAGCCGTTTGTGAATGCGGATTGTAACGGATACCCCTCTCTCGTAAATAATAACAATATAGTTTTTTATCGTTGTATACTTTATGTTTAGGTGTTATTATCCTAAAAAAATATAATACACATGATAAATTAAGCTTTTCTATAGAACGATTTTTAATTTTAGTAAAATCCATTTAGATTATGCTTATCAAAAATAAAACGGTCAAGTGCGAGTCGAATTCGTACACAAAGGGACACACTTACATTTACACTTTTTATTAATATGACTTTTACTCTATGTACTTAGTATATTAACTTCGATGATCAATTACGAATGTTAAAAAATGTTTCTTGTATTTTTATTTATTTTTTGTTATAGAGGCACTAAAAATACATACTTATTCTATGAAAATCTCAACTCTCTACCTATTACAGTTCATGAGGTACAGCCCTCTGGCAGATGGACGGACGGACGAACAGCAGAGGTATAGTAATAGGGTTCCGTTGGCACCCTTCGGGCACGGAACCCTAAAAATGCATTTATCGTTTCAAGGAAAAGCGTCACTGAGATAGGTCAAGAGATCATAGCAGAAGAGATTAAACTAATATCGAGAAAGAAAAATAAGGGTATTATATTTTCTTATCACCGACAGCTGTCATCAGATAGTAATACAATGAACGGCTCAACTATCTTGATAGATGGATTATGCGTGGCGCAATACGAAAGCCACGAATTAACAGTAAAATATGTCCGACTACTGTTGGATTTGAATGTAGTGAACTCTTCAGCATTTTTTAAATATCTAATCTTCTGTAATATTAAACTGTTATTTCAATATTTCTAAAGATTCATATCATAATATATTATCCATCGATATAAAGTATATTGTAATACTCACTCATGATGAGTTCCCGGACGTCTATGTATATACATATGTATACGAGTACGTTATTGATTGGTTCCACTCAGTAAGCACAGCCATTTAAATTGTAAACCACTTTTCATTGTAAATCGAAAAGGAAAATACTAAACACGCCTATTTATGCAGAGAGTAATATGTACACAAAATTTGAATTATTTTAAGAAAGTACCTACAGTTCTTACATTATTATATGAATATAATCTTATCAACTTCTCAGAATGTCAGATAAAAATTGCACATTTTATTACTGCATATATTGGTGTCGCAAAAATATTACCTCCAAAATTAATGTACATGAAATATTTCGAAAATTACTAAAACTTATTTTTGATTTAGTAACTGTTTTAATCAAATACTGTTGCTTAACACTGAATCAATTACCTAATTGATGATCAACTCAGGAAGGAACATAATAAGTATCCAATCTATCCATACTTCCATACTAATATTATAAATGTGAAAGTGTGTTTGTTTGTCCTTCTTTCACGTCGAAACGGAGTGACGATTGGCGTAATTTTTTGTGTGGAGGTAGTTGGAGGGCTAGAGAGTGATATAGGCTTTTACCGCAGAAGATTATCTAATTCCCACTGAAAAACACGTTGTAATACAATTCAAAATAATATTTATGACTAGAATTACTTGAAACTTGGTATTAATGCTCTACTATAAAATTAAATAAATACGTGTCCATTTCTTGAAATAGAAATAAGAGAGTAAAATACAGGATGAAAGTTTGTATGAAACTACCTTTGTAGAAACTATGTAGTTTTCATAGAAGCCGCGGGTTCTGCTAGTCTATTATAAAGCTAAAGAGTTGGCTTTGCTACCAGACTAAGACTGATTTTCTAATCATCTGATAAAAGTTACACTTTAAGACTTAAGTACATACCCACTAAACTATAACTCATGTAAATTTAAAAGTATAAAAATATACTATTTCATTCATACAATTGATATTTTTAATTTTATATTCTATTTTGATGAATTCTGAATATATATATATATTTATGCTATGAGTAACTTTTATCTATAGATAATTAAACAATCAGCCTTTAGTTAAATATAGAGATCGGCTTTCCATTTCCGATCATAATAATTTACAATTCTTTACCGATTTCACTGTTTACCTACACATAGGCTATAGCATAGTAATATTACATACAGTATTCCATCTTCATACAAACGGTCGAAAATCGAGTTATACCTACGCGCGTCGCGTTCGGTATACACTCGGTACACAACCATGTGGGGCTGCCACATCGTATAATTGGATACGAAAATTGTATAAGGTGGTTATGTTATGTAACTTTTATAATTTTGATACAAAAATAAAAATTTTATTACTCCCGTAACTTCGCTAATGTGAAACAAAATAGTATCGAGATATCGTATGTTTTAAAGATAAAAATTAATTAATTAAATTAAAAATTAAAGTATTTTTAATTAAACTTTTTATCCCAATGCGGATTCTTTATACTATTAAATTTAACAATAAACTTTTCGTACGTCTCAGTCGAGACGCAAACATTTTTAAATCTCAAATTTATAAGGTTCACATAACACCCTTATAAATCTGAGATTTTTTAATTAAATCTACTAATGATAGTTTTAAATAAAAAATATAATATTCGAAATCACAAAATTAGAAAGAAACTCATGTAAGTAGATGAAATTAAACTACTGGCCGGCGGGCAGCCCTGTCGCGTGGGTACGTACCGCGCGGCTGTAGGTAATTATTTCAAGGACAGGCCCGAGTTGGAGTACTGTATGTATTACATTACCGTGGCTATAGTAACCATCGTTGAGGAGCAGTGACCCGCATCTCGTAAAGGCAGGAAAAAACGACGCTGTCCCTTCCTGGCTGCATTATTTGACGTAATTAAACAGACAAAAAGATCAAATTAGGTATATATCATAATATCATGATGATATTACCCATTATAAAATAGATTGTTTTCCTTTTGACGACACGTTTGGCTCAATTTGTAGTGACCCTACTTGCTGTGCCAGCGGTCGCAGGTTCGAGTCCCGCTGGGGGTATTCATTTGTGTGATGAGCACGAATGTTTGTGTTCCAGTCATGGATGTTTATATTTATAATATGTATGTATTTAAAGTTATATATGTGTAGTGTATCAACTATCTGTTATCCATAATACAAGCCTCGTAGCTTACCATGAAACTAGATGGCGCAGTGTGTCCCAACATATTTTTTTTTTCAAATAGTACATTAGGTACATTGTAGGACGTGTTTCACCGCTTCAAAAAGGCACATCTTTATACTTCAGCAGATTTAAAGCCGAAAATAGCTCGATAATAGCGCGCACAAGTCCAAGTGCACATTTTATTCTTTTTACTCTCAAAGCCCGAAGGGACGACAATTCGACATGACCGGTGAGACTTCAAGGGCAGGACCAAGGGACGTGCTCCTTCACTATTCTTTACTGTTATTGGGTATTTATTGACTAAAAATCTAGTAGCTTAGACCGACCTGGGACTCGAACCTAGGGCCTCTGTATTTGCAGACGCATATGCTAGCGACTGGCGAAACGAGGCACAAATTATTTCACCAATGTCACTTGGATGGAAAAAATGTTTTTAGGCAAATAGATTTTAAACCGGTTTAACAATGTCAAATAATAAAAGCAAAATATGCGTTAATTGAGGAAAGGCATATACGCTTAGTTTAGTTTTACATGTCCGAGTTAAAGACAATGAGCTGTTATTCTGGCATCTTTACACCCGCTAATTAGGTACGAGTACAGTATCTGCATAAATGGTATGCATTGTTCTGCTCGCTGCCGCCGTTGTTCTCTTTAATATCTTATATGTCATTGAGTGAAACGTAAATGATTAAGCAATTAATATGTAATAATAAATATTTTATATTATTTTAAACTGTAAAAAATTAATTAAAGAATTGGCCTTTATTCTAATAGAATTGTATATTATATAATTAAAAGTATTTATTGTATTAATAAATTATTTAATAAACATTATCGCGATGTCAGCACGCAAGATCAGAACGACAGAACTAAACAGAACTGAACAGAACTGAACGGAACTGAACAGAACTGAACAGAACTGAACAGAACTGAACAGAACTGAACAGAACTGGACAGAACTGAACAGAACTGAACAGAACTGAACAGAACTGAACAGAACTGAACAGAACTGAACAGAACTGAACAGAGCTGAACAGAACTGAACAGAACTGAACAGAATAGAATAGAATTGAATTGAATAGAATTCTTTCTCAGAAATGAGATATTTTCAGTCCGACGCCGCGTCTATCTGTTTGTCTGTCTGAATGCAATGAACTCAAAAACTACTGATTGGATTTTCATACGATTTTCACCGATAGATAGAGTGATTCATGAAAAAGACTTAAGTGTATAATTTATTAAGTTTTTGCGTAAATTGGTTAAAATATGACCATGATTGTTGAAGATGCCGAAAAAATCATGCAGATATGCGCCGCATTACGTGATAAAGTTAGATGAAACATTGTATTACAGAATTATTCCTATTAAAAAGAACTTCCTATTAAACTGTAGCAGCGCTTAATGTACGCACCTAGGGACGCAGCCTAGCGAAGCAGGGGTATAAATAAAATAAATATGTTGGGACATTCATACACACCACCATCTAGTTCCATGGTAAGCTACGAGGCTTGTGTTATGGATACACTACATATGTATAACTTTAAATACATACATATTATAAATATAAACACCCATGACTGGAGTACAAACATTCATGCTCATCACACAAATGAATGCCCCCAGCGGGACTCGAACCCGCTGGCACAGCAAGTAGGGTCACTACAGATTGAGCCAAACGTGTCGTATGTCACTAGTTAATTGTTTGTCGGTTTGTAACGTACCCATTCGCTATAGTATTTGTCCGAATGGTTCGGTAAATTATTGCATGTCCACTGAGGTTTCTGGCATAATATCGTTAACCATCTATATGTGCCTTATGCCTTTTATAATATGTTTTCATATGTAGGTATACTTAATAAATGAATTGATAGCTTGTATTAGAAAAGCTACTCGGTGAATTGATAACGGATGCCACAATAGGCATTGTTTCCGTTCACTTATGAAGGCAGTAGCCGCCTATTATCTGCATCTGGTAGTTTGCCCTAAGCATAATATCTTCACGCTTAGATTGATTTAACTTGTCGCTATACCCACTTAAATCGTAGACGATAATAATTAAGAGTTGAATATTTGAATACAAGCAAATTTAGTTACATTATGTAAACATAAATAAGCTTACGATGAATTAATGAAGGAAATAAGAAAATATGGGATTGTATTTGATTGAGAGCTAGGATATTATAATAAAATAATAATATTATATACAAGATACTAAAGCACATCTTCAGATTTGGACGTTACGCCGGTTTTTTTGCAGTGAGGACTGAATTAATATTGTTATTAGTTATGATTATAATATTATTACGAGCTAGTTCAATAGAAGATAATTATATTGTTTTATGTAAGTACATTACTAATATAAACGAAGCAAAAAAATTAAAACGATGCTAGGAAGTAGGAACCAACACGCATGAATCTATATTCTCTTCCACATCCATAAAGGATATACACCAATTTTTTTATTGACCCGTGCCATAGTAGAATGCGTAAAGTTGCAATGAAGCGTACACTATTTAATAATATAGCTATTAGCCATAGAGTCTGACATTATGATAAACCCCTGTTAAGTAACTCAGCAAATATCCATTAAAAAATCAATAGCAAAGATGTAATAGAATAGAATGTTCCGCGGGCAAGAGTTACACCATTTGTTATTAGTTCGATAACATCTCGATTAGTTCCCGGTAGAGGTGATGCAATTGATTGCCTAAAGAATGCACTTCTGAGAAATTGGGAGTGAACGAAAGTAATCTACTGGAAGTATCACATCGTAGATTTGTAAATTGTAAACAGTCACTAAAATGATTAACTTTGTGCGTTCGATTAAATTTTAAATTAATAATTATTTTGTTTACTCATAGTCATTTATAGCAACATTTTTGGGTATACATATTTATAGTAGATTTCAGTAAACGTAATGGTTTTTGATAACATCAATCACATTCGTATACTAAAACTTTTTTTGAATAATATATAATTTTATTTCTTTTAATTTTTAAGTAAAAAAAACCACAACGACAGTATAACTTTAGAATTGATAATTCTACACTTAGGGTAAAATATTGTTTTGAACTTAACCCTTGAAAAAAAAGTATTATTAGAAGCGGTTCATCGTTCAGAATAATGTACATTGTATCTACATATTATCTTTTCCATTTTATTTTTTATCCCCCGACGCAAAAAGATGGTGTTATAAGTTTGACGTCGATGACTGTCTCGACGTGTGTGTGTGTCTGCACGTGGCATCATAGCTCTCAAACGGATGGACCGATTTCGATGCGGTTTTTTATTTAAAAGCCAGCTTCCTTGCGGTGGTTTTTGGCTACGTTTGGTTAATTTATCGGTCCAGCACATAAAGAGTATCAGCTCTTTTCCAAAAAGATGTAAGGCATTTTGGCTGGCTAGCTGGCTGGATTACTCGAGTAGGTTTTTTTAAGGATTGTTCCTTAAACTATAAGTATTTTTTGCATAGGGGGTTTTTTTAATTTTTAATTTATAATTATCAATACACACGTTATGCCTTTAATCTTTTCCATCTTCTTTTTGAAGTGGATTTTGTTAAAATGTTCATTGATATATAATTATCGTAATGTTTTTAATAAAATATATTATACTTGTTCATAATATTTGAATAAGATGAGTTATTGCCACTAACTACATATTTGTATAAAATGGGGTGGGGTCTGGGAGGACCACCCTTATCCTTATCACTTAGGGGTATGGAAAATAGATAGTAGCCGATTCTCTGACCTACTGAATACGCATATGTATGTATTCAGCCCTTTTTAACGTCCCACTGCTGGGCACGGGCCTCCCTTCAATACGAGGGGATCAGGCCATAGTCCACCACGCTGGCCAAGTGCGGATTGGCGGACTTCACATGTCTTTCGAAAACTTGCTAAGTTCTCTCAGACATGCAGGTTTCCTCACGATGTTTTTCCTTCACCGTAAGGCAAGTGGTAATCATGTTAGAAATGATTCGCACATGAAAATATCAGTGGTGCGAGACCCGGGATTTGAACCCGCTTCACTCGGTTTCCCAAGCAAGCGCGTTACCACTGGGCTACCACTGCCTACTGGGCTACCATGCGCTACCAATACGCATATAAAATTTGGTAAAAATCGGTAAAGCCGTTTCGGAGGAGTACGGTAACTAACATTGTGACATGGAAATTTTATATATTAGAATAAATGTCGCCAACGTTGGGGTATCGTTTTACTTATGTACAATAACATAGGTATGAACAACGTCATCATTAGTATACTTATAACTGTGACTATAATAAAATGTTCTACATAAATTCTTTGGTGTTATTATCATCGTTTAAATACGTATCATTTCTATTGCAACCTCGCATGCGCAACTAATCGCTGATTGATAGATCAAAGACTTATTATACTTATTTAAACTATGTCGACGTTGCGGAGAAATTGTTTTTATCGACTCTGACACGCTTCGACAAATTACTGTTTCCAAGTAGAATACGGTCAAGGAAAATTCTGAAATAAACTTGATTTGCAAGTGTTTGTGTGGCAGAAGCCTACTCAACTAGTAACATGTTCACCTTTCTTTTATAAAAAATGATAGTTTATTATTATATAAATGTATTATTAGCAGGTAATCTATATGCAGTAATCTATATTAATAAATCTTTTATTTGTAGTATATTGATTATAATCATTTAGAGAGTATATCGACGGGTGAAAGGCTATTTGGTTTAAGCGAAATTTTCTTAACTTTACAGGAGAGCCAATTTAAGTATTTGTTTTTTGAAAAAAAAATCGTGAAAGGCTATTTGGTTTAAGCGACATTTTCTTAACTTTACAGAAGAGCCAATTTAATGATTTTTTTTTTGAAAAAAAATATCATTAAATTGGCTCTCCTGTAAAGTTAAGCAAATGTCGCTTAAACCAAATAGCCTTTCACCCGTCGATATATAGATAATATATATGTACAATAATGTATATAGACATACCCTCAACACGCCCAACTTCTTTAAAGTTCTTCTCTTCTTCTCTTTAAACTTCCTTAAAGTTCGGTGTGAAAAATAAAGTGCTATGTCTCTACCTCCCATGTGAGACGTAACGAAATCTATGTATATAAACTTAAAATATATCTTTTAATGGCTATTTAAAATTTTAAAGTCCCTAGTTTTATGTATAATTAATGTTAAGATACACTTCCCTTGAATTCATAATACAAAGTACCTGCAGAAACACATTCACTCACTCATACTAACTCACTCACAATCATTCACATTTATAATTTTAGTATAATTGTGTATACAATTAGGGCAAAAATTTACTTTTTGTTTCCTTGCATTGTAAGTATTGATATATTGAAACAGTTATATACTAAAGGAAGCATGTGGTGCAGTCAAAATATAAACATAGCCGATTCGGCTAACTATTCGTATCTAATCTATACTAATATTATAAAGAGGTAAAATTTGTGAATTTGTGAGGTTGTAGGGGGTAATCTCTGGATCTACTGTACCGATTTAGAGGAAATTTGGTAAGAAGATAGTTTGAGACCCTGTGAAGGACATAGGATACAGTATAGAGTGAAAATTGGGATGAAAATTTGTATGGGGAATCAAGCTAGGGACGAACCCGAGCGAAGCGAGGGTTAGTCGCTAGTAAAATATACATTTTGAATACTCCAAATTTGCCATACCAATGAAATATGAAGAAATATTCACTTTACAATTAATAGCCATAAAAAACATTTAAAACAAAATACTCTATCACGCAATCGGTATTTAGATTACCTTGAATTTCGTGTGTTCGTTTAAACGTACACATTGATCTTTTGTTAAAGTGTACGTACTAAGTTATGTAGATTGTAAATATTGTTTCACTTGTCCTCTTCAGTGCACGACGACTCACGACCTAAGATCACGAGTATAGCGAAATGTCTCACGCAGATCACGACGACATGGAGAGCGGTTGCGTCACGAAAGGTCAATGTTGCGTCTTAATAGATTAATTTGTTCCATTGCTTTCACTTGCACATACTATATGAGAGACGAACACAGGTTAATAGAATTTTATATACAGTTTTAGGGTTCCGTTCCAAAATGAAAAACCGTCTGTCTGTATGTTATAGCCATTTTACTCGGAGACTTGGTTCTAGGAACCCTCAGTGGATGAGCTGGGACAGAAGTATTTTTGTTCCGAATATTTGTATACAAACGCTTCTCTGACAATAAGTTGTTCTTAATATTCTTGTAGATAAGAGTGCCAGTGATGAAATTAATATATAGATTATTTTTCCAGAAGAATTCCTCAATTTGAGATCCATCTTAAATGACTTCATAGTTCGCTAAACAGGTTTCAATATGTCAAGACAGTATTGCAATATCCCTTGGCCTTACATTATATATGCCCATTATAGAAAGGTAGGTACTTCAATTTACATTCACATAAAAATGTTCAATTTAACATAAAAATTTACTTCCCGTATCATTGCTGGAATCATAGATGAATGCATCTATGTTTCCAGCTATGCGAATACCAATCCATACATATAATAAAACTGTAACTAAGCCGAATATGTACATTAAATATTTTTTGGAAAATCTTATTGAAATAAACATTATTATCGATACAGAGGCCGAATCTATAGTTTTTAGAATTTTTGTCTATCTGTCTGTCTGTTACCGCATCACAGAAAAACCACTGGTGGGATTTTGATGAAGTTTGATATGGTGATAGCTAATTATCCGGATCAATTTATAGGGTACTTTTTACCACGGGAAAATATCTCATTTCTGAGAAAAAATACAAAAACTGCAATGTAAGAGTATACTAATACGAGTATGTAAAACGTAAGAATTTGGTTTTTGGTCATCTGAACGCGGGCGGAGTTGCGGGCAATTCTAGTAACCTATATACATACTACTCTAGATATGATTAAGCTTAGTTAGTTTATTCAAGCTTTTTTTAGTTCAATTAAACTAATTTTAAGTTTTTTATTTTTACTTTTATATTCCTACCAAAGTAAGAACTCTCCTTATAAAATTCATGTATCTCTGAAAAAAACGTCTTTGAAACACACACTTTTATTACATTAATACATATTTCTCATTTATATTTTAGTAAAAAAAAATTATGTTGCTATTATTATAGATATTAGTTAGTACATAAATGTTTTAAATTGATTAATTATTTTCTATTACTTTGAATAGATTAAACATAGCATGGAAGTAATTTTATATGCTTGAATAATTTGTTTGTTTATTTATTTGTATGGATAAATTGAAGGTGATTAAAAGTTCTTTGTGTATATATTTTAAGTACCCCTACCTATTTAAATATAATAACTTAGTGCTTAAAAATAAGTTTTATATAATATTAGCATTGCTCGCAGCTCCGCCCGCATTACATATTAGTATATGTAAGAGACATTGCACTTTTAGTATTTTTTCTCAGAAATGAGACATTTCCTGCGGAAAAAAGTATCCTATATGCTGACCCGGATAACCAGCTATCAACATACCAAATTTCATCCAATCACTCCAGTGGTTTTTCTGTGATGCGGTAACAGACAAACAGACAGACAAAAATCCTAGAAACTATAAAATCGGCCTCTGTATCGATAATAAGCTTAATTACAATTTTATTGTAGGTATAGAAGTGAGACCTACCTTTATGCATACTCGTATTATAAGTTATGTTTATCGCTAGCTCTAAAAAAACTTAATAAATCCCATTAATATTTAATATACCTAGATGCGAAAGTTTGGATGGATGGATATGGCGCAATCACGCCAGAACGGCTGAACGGATCTAGATGAAATGTGACACAGAGATAGATTATAGTCTGGAATAGCACATAGGTTACTTTTTATCCCGGAAAAATGTTCGGTTTCCGTAATAGATTTGTTTTTTTTTACTAGAGACGAACCCGAGCGAAGCGAAGGTGAGTTGCTAGTATTATGTGATTGTGAAAGAATTAGACGAATTCTGAAAATAGGTAGTGCATAACTACGCCAGGTGTAGAATAAACGAACACCTGCTACATTGCATACATTCATATCATAGTCATTAAAATAGTTTAGTTCACATACATGAAACAATGCGCGTATATTAGCATGCTTTAGCTTACCTCAGTAGATTTGAATTGAATCGAATGCTTATTTGACATGCATACAACTTTAGGTGTTGAAACAATCAGTTTCAAATATATATTATTGCATTAAAGTAAAGCATAACGCTACATGTATGTAAGCTTACAACTGTTGTAATGTTATTAGTATACTAGAGACTCACCCTGGCTCCGCTCGGGTTCGTCCCTAAACGTTTAGTATAGATTTCTCAGACATGAGACATTTTCCCGCAGTAAAAAGTATCCTATATGTTGACCCGGATAACCAGCTATTATCATACCAAATTTCATCAAAATCTATCGAGTGGCTTTCCCGTGACGTTACAGACAGACAGACAGACAAAAATTCTAAAAGCTATAGATTCGGCCTCTGTATCGATAATAATCTCTATTTTAATAAGATTTTCTAAAAAATATTTATTGCACAGATTCGGCTTAGTTACAATTTTATTATATGTATCGATAACTTATAGTGGCCTACTGATGACAAGAATAATAAAATTATAATTCATGATGTAAAAAATTAATATTTTAGGGTAAGTTTGAAAGTAGCGCCAGTGTCATGTCATGTAGAGAGAAGAAAGTCATATAAGCATGCGAATACTAGATATGAATATAGATGTATATAGAAGTAGACATAGACTGAGAAATGCATGGGAAGTTGAAGAAGGAAAAATATAGTACCAATCACCCTCGGGATAAGGACACGGAGAAGAAGATATCTAAATATAAAAATAAGTGTAATGGTGTGTAATTATATTTACGTCATATAAACGGTGGTTACAAGTAAAGGTTGAATTCTCGTATAAAATGTAAGTAGGTACACATTGATTCCTGTAAAATTAGTCTCAATTCGATTAAGACAAATTGCTAAATTTGTTATGTCCTACATTACCTTTTAAAAAAAATTATGGAATATGTACTGTACATTTCGCAACGATAGTCGTAATATTATTAATTTTCTAAAAATTTTCACTAACATCACAAATTATTTATCACAACTTGTATGTATTTTATGTATTGTATTTTATAACATTATTATTAAAAGCTTAGTATCGGACAGTAAGGCTAAAGAAAAGGAACAAAACTGTCGTTGGTATTTTAACTGCCGTCGCCGGCGCCGCGTCATGTTGCATTCTTCATTGACTGCGCAAGATTCATCGTTTTTTTTTTATTTATAGTTCAACCAAACAAGTGATTAGAACCATATTTTATAAGTACATATTTTAGTTGATTTTTTATAATTAAACTTTATTGGAAATGAACTCGCTTCGCTTTCATTTGTGATATGATAAATATATTTCTTCCACAAGTGTATGGTCGTATCTGCTTACTTCAGACACTAACGAATTCACCCAACTAAACCACTGCAATATTCTAATATGCCACAGCGACCACAAGTCTAAATAAAAGTAATCTGTGCCACTCTCTGCCCCATAAACTTATACCTTATGTCAAAAATCACTATATCACTAATATGTTGTTCCGTTCACAGAAGTATATAAGATAATAATATATTTTTAAAGATACAATTCTTTTGAGACGTTTAAAGAAAATCTATACATATAATAAAATTGTAACTAATCCGAATCTGTACATTAGATATTTTTTGGAAAATCTTATTGAAATAAACATTATTATCGATACAGAGGCCGAATCTATAGTTTTTAGAATTTTTGTCTGTGTCTGTCTGCCTGTTACCGCATCACAGAAAAACCACTGGAAGGATTTTGATGAAATTTGGTATGGTGATAGCTGGTTATCCGGGTCAACATACAGGATACGTTATACCGCGGGAAAATGTCTCATTTCTGAGAAAACATACAAAAACTACAATGTAAGAGTATACTAATATGTAAAACCTAATATTTTGGTTTTCGGTGATCTGAACGCGGGCGGAGCCGCGGGCAATGCTAGTTATGAGAATAAACACTCATTATTACGCACACGCACACAGACAGCCAA